TGTTCCTTCCCTAAAATGATTGCTAAAAACAAATTGTAACTGATATAACTGCAACCATCATTTGTTGAGTTCGCATACGAACTGTGCTAGATGCCAGGCTCTTTTCTAACTCTCTTAGCAGAGTATAGGTCATGAAATCCATTGTACAGATGAAGAAACTGAGGCTTAGAAAAGTTAAAGCATTGTCCAAGGCCAGTGAAGTTAGTTCAGAGTTTCAGAAATCTCTAAAAAATCTGCTTAAAGATACAGAACCTCTCTGAAGGGCTATCCAAAAAGAAGGGAAAAGTCAGTCCAGCCCTTCTAGATTCTAGAATGTGTCTGTCTAAACCCATATATGATCAAATCAGGCAGTCTTTTACAAAATCCCACCCATCCAGTTGACAGCATACTTCAGAAACAAAATGTAAATTTGTGAGAAGCCTTCTGATTTGGTGAAGCAGGTAAACCTAACACAGAAGAAAGACAGTCTGAGTTGAGTGGACCCAGATGGCTACATGTGCTAGGAAACTAACCAAAGTGCCACCCTCTCACTGAGAAAAGCTTCCTCCAGTAAGGTATACAGAAGTGGTCTCAAACTTCAATGAGAATAGAAATGCTAATAATGATAATGACCACAGCCAGTCACCACTGAAATATCTCCTGTTTCAACTTCAGCTGTTATACACATTTTATGTGATAACTCATTTAATCTTTAAAATAACCCTACAAAGTAAATACTATATTTCCATTTTACAGATGAAAAAACCGAGGCAGACAGGGCTTAGAACTTTCCCATACTGCTAGAGTAGGACTGTTAACATATTTAAAATTCAGAATCCTGGACCCAAATCCAGAGTTTCAAATTTATTTCAGTAGGGGCCCCAGAATACTCATTTTTAAGGATTTTAATTAGAGGATGAGTCTGGTGGTAGCTAAATGCTGTTAGAAGTCCTGAATGTCTACTACAACCTAAAACACTCGGGTATGTTGATCTTGACTCTTGATATCACCAGCTTAGCCATCCACAAATTCACAGTTGTAGGCAACTGGCAAACCTATAAAACCTAAGTCAAGGCTGGTCAGGCTGAAATCCAAGCCCGCACATCCACCTCTTTTAAGAGAGTGTACTGCCAATAGATTAAGCACTTGGCAATTGGAAAATGAATGTAATCAGAAGTTACCCAGTAACAGAACCAATTACCTGCCTACTTTACCATTTTCCTCCTCTGAAGACCTCCTGGACGAATGTGCCCGTTCTGAGTAATTATTAAAGATACTTCACTCCTTGCACACGGCCCTGATATTCATTTTCATGGTAACTGACAACAGTGTCATGATTAAGTCCAAGGACCTTCACAGAGACACTACAGTTATCACGCTCTGTTATGACTCAAGATCAGACTATGTGGAACGAAGCCTACTATAAGCATAACTCCTTCATCTAAGCACTTTACAGTACATAAAGCACCTTTACCATATAATACCTCTTGATCCTTGTAACTATCCACAGTCATGCTTACTATTGTTCCCATTTTACAGGCAAAGAAACTGAGGCTTCAAGTGTTTATAATTTTTCAAGGTCAAACAAACAGTAAGTTGAAGAATCAAAATATGCCTCCTTTTAGATCTCTTTTCTTCAGTAGCAGCGGCCAACAATGGAAATGCAAGAAGATAGCAGTGTATGTAAGCACGCAAATCACTACCATTGTTATTAAGACTAATTGTAAAATTTAAATTAAAGGATTATTCATTATTAACAAATAACTGTTATTGTTATATAGCACTGCCTAGAATTCCCTGAACTTTGTGGAGTAAGAATTGTTTTGCTACTAAATACCTGGTGACCTTTGGCAAAGTTGGCTGACTAGTCACAGTTCCAGAATGTACCCATGAGTTCATACCTCTATAATCTAATGTGCATTTAAGCTCTGGTTTCATGGCTGAGTTTCACTGGAGGAAAAACCTTAAAGTGTAAGGAGGCCTGGGTCCCAGACAAACAACTTGTAACAAGCCACATTTCCTTTCGAGTGTATGTCCTCATCTATAAAATGGGTATATAAAGCCCTGCTATATACCCAGCCTCTGACCATGACTGCAATGATCAGTGAGAAAATATTCCAAAAAAAGCTCTCTGCAAATCATAGCAAACCACACAGGGACGCTATTTCTAAACTTGCACAATGATCATTTTCCTGCTTTTAGAACTGACGTCTTCACATTTCAAGAAATCATATAAAGCCAGAATGATTCTCTTAAACCAAAAAAGCATACTGAGTCCTGGCTGTCCTTTCAAGATGGATGCTGATGTCAGCTCAATCAAGAAATTATTAACCTCCATTTGGTTACTTAAAATAAGCTGTACTGGCTGATTTCATGTGCTGAACATCTTCTCCAAGTAGCAGTGCATATCACCTCCAAACCTTTCTTTTTCGGTTACACATTGCAAATGGCAAATGCACCATTCAAAACTATTTAAAATCAATAACAAAAATCATTGCAATGTATATAAACAAGTTAATGGAGTAAGTGAAAACAAAGCAAATTTCTTAATGAGAGGGCCCTGTTGCCCCCTCTAGGTGCCAGCGGTAAATGCTAGTTTCTGTACTCTCCCCCAGAGGAGACTGCTGCTGCTATTCTGCTAATGAATGACTAACTTAGGCCAGGGGGGAAATGACATCACCAGGGTGGAAAACCAATCTGCACTGGGAAACTTTCTACCTGCTTTACATTTGTCATAATTATTTTGCACAATGCAGTCTGTATTTGCATAATTTTGAGGCGTGTCATTATCTCAATTGAAAATTGTTTTAATATGGCTGAATAATTCACAATGACATCAGCCAAAGTCCTAATGAAATATACAAGTATAATCATACAGCTAATTACCAGCCGTGTTAGCATTAAAAAACAAATCATGCATAATATTAGAGGATGTATATGCAGCTGAGGATTATAAATAGAGCCATCTCCCTCCGCAAGCCCCCTAGAGTTTACTTTTAAATGGCAAGATTAATTTTCCCAGGTATGGCTCATACAGCAGTGACGAAATGCACAGATCATTACAATGGGTCGCTTTCAATTCCCCACGATGGACAATTACAAAGAACTCGTGTATTTAAAAATATACCTTTTCACTGTCAACAGTTCTAGCTGATGCAATCTTCTGCAAATACAGCTTTTATTCCTAAATCAGAAATCGCTGTTTAATTACACCAACAGAAATTAAAACTGGACCCAGTGGGGTCAACTCGGGGTCTTTAAAAAAATATTCCAATGTCAAGTCAAAAAAAGTGACTACAAAATATCCCATAAAGCACTGAATAATTTCCTCCGGGGTTTAGTCAGAAGTCTATTAGGCACCAGCCCTTTTCTGGATATTTAATCCTTCCCTTTTCCAGATCACAGGCCATGTTGAAGTAATAAATTTGAAAAGCAAATAATAAGAAATCAGGCGGGGGAGGGGAGGAAGACAGCTGCGCAGGAAAAGTTGGGTCGGGGGAGGGAGCCGAGCGAGACTTGGGAGGGGGAAGGAGCTCAACCTGTTGGTAGGTTGCAGGATTTTTCACAGTATTTCCAAACAACACCTTTGTAGAATCGCAGGCCGGCGCAGGGAAATAGGAACGCTTAAAACCCGAAGCTGCGGGGGAGGGGGT